GAGTGTGTTAGTGACAGGAAGCAACAGGGGATTGGGGCTGGAGCTTGTTAAACAAATTTCAGCAAGTTTAACGCCTCCAGAAGTTATCATAGCTGCTTGCAGGGACCGCGAAAATGCCACTGTGAGACATATAATCAGATAACAAAAATTTTGCATTATTTTTAAATAATTATTCGTTACAGAGAAGATGCTTTTGTTTCTTAAAATGTTGTTTGTTATTCTCAGTAACATTAACCCTCGAAGTATTGATTGTAATAGGAATGAAATCGTGATGTCGTAAAGATAGCTTGCATGACATTATGGCCTTTCATACTGCCAGTTTCTCTTATTACATTATTAAAGTAATCTTCAGTGAAACTAAATGATATTCCTTGGCAATCAGAAATGACTGTCACAGTACATGATTCCTTTTCTCTCAGAACAACACTCAAATGAAGTCATAATTGAGCCCCATCCCAGAAAAAGAATAGGTATAGAATGATGGTAATAATGTTGATGGTAATGATAATGAAGATTATAGTAATCATCATCAAAATATATATATTTTTTTAAGAATAAAAATTAAATAACCACAAACTTAATTCAACTGAGAAAGTTCAATTTTGACATTAATAAGTGTTCACAGTTTCCATGTACATTACATGTCATGACTTGACAAAAAAAAATCAGAAAAACAGGACATTGAAGCTAAATAGTTTAAAGATATAATAGGTTCATTTTAGCTCGCTCTGCCAAATGGTCTCAGAATACTGTAGAATATTATAAAGGAATTTTTCATAGTTGGATAAGGTTAACCCCAAGTTGCTGGGATGGCAAGAATATATGCCATATCCACTGTAACTATTTGCTTATTGATTGTCTTTACTCATTGGCGACGGGCATAGCACATACGTCCATGCCATGCCCACTGTGAGTTTACTTATTTAATTGTTTTTACACAAAGATGGCTACACTTGTACTAAGTCACCAATGAGCCAGTTATGAGTACTGCCTGTCTTGCCTGTTCACCCTTTTCATTGACCTACAAAAATATTTTATGTTATCTTATTTTGCTGTTACTAATGTTTATAACATAGTAATTATAATATTTATAATAAAACTAACACCATCTATATTCATAGCACTAGTAAAAGATACTTTTCCCGCCAATACAAGGAAAGGTGAAATCAGGTAAGATCACAAGGTCTCCTAATGGACTCTTTTGTGGCAAAGCATTAGCAGAGCCACCTATGTGCATAAAAAATGAGCATAGCATTTTCCGCATTTTTTATTTATTTTCCCCGGCGGCAATGGGTTAATCATGAAGGACATAATTACTTGTCCTCTCTATCTCACCTGTTTATCCTCTTCCATGATTTTTAAAGATTCTTTTTAATTCTTTATTACTAATAATATTGCTAATAAAATGACAATAATCACAATGTTAACAACAAGAATAACATTGTAGTAGCATTAGAAAAAAACAAACTGAAAACTGAAATAAAAGAAAAATCTGAGGAGCCGAGTTGTATAGTCACACACCCTCACAAGCATATATTCAGTCTTATAACACCATTCTTATTATTACAGAGTCTACAAGAAGTTGCAGAAAAACACCATAATGTCCACATTGTGAAACTGGGTAAGATTTCAGTTATTACTTTGGTTTTACTGCCATGGCCACACCCAAAAGGGGGGGAGGGGGTGCACAGGTCCTAGTAATCTTTGTTCCAAAGTATCTTCTGTTATTCAGCAAATAAGGAAAGCAATTTTCACAATTTGTTAAATTATAGACCTGCACTAGCTTCATATAAATTCACAGCTCTATAACCCTCAAATATATATAACCTGAGAGGCTTTCTCCCCTCCCCACACTTTTGTTTGGCAAATTTGACACCAGCACCCCCTTTAAAAATGTTTTAAACAAATATATGTGCAAGACATCAAAAGGTCTTATAGCACTATGATAAAGTGTTTTCGTGGGAGGGGTTTAAAGGAGTTCTTTATTAGAACCAAATGTCTTCGATTTCAGTGGTCATACGTAAGTAAGATATGACAGTAGTGAAAGGAGTATAAAGAATATACACTATCTTTTGAAGTACTTTGATAAAATCAGAATGAATGTGGTATACCTGGTCTCAAGTTTTTCTTCTTTTTCTTCTTCTTCTCTAAGAAATAGCATACACCTTAAATGTTTTGCTTTGACTTGCAGATGTTAGTGATGAAGCTTCATACAAAACATTTTTTGAAGATGTGGAAAAAATTGTGAGCCCCACAGGTCTCAGTCTCCTCATCAACAATGCTGGGGTTGCCCCAAAATCGACTCGTATTAATATGGTTAAATGGAAACAGATGATGGATACTTTTAGTGTCAATACAATTGCTCCACTTATGTTGACAAAGGTGAGTTTAGTTGATTTACACTGTAAATGTAACTTTGGGTTTTTATCTACTTTCATAAGATCAAAGATTGTTGATATAGTAGATGATAAAAGCCTGTTTACTGTTGCAGACTCTCAGGACTCTGTTGACTACGGCAGCATCACAGACACAAGGAAATGCCCTGTCTGTAAGGAGAGCTGCTGTTATCAATATGTCCTCTATTCTAGGCTCCATTGCAGAGAATGACCAAGGTGGTTTATATCCCTACAGGGCAAGCAAGGTTTGTTTTTGCTTATGATCACAAATATCTTTGATTTATATGACAAGTACCATAATGAAACTCCTTTAATTAGGCCTGACTATACACAGTTAATCTTTGCCTTGCTCCTGAAATAGTAATTTTACTGAATATATATATTTCATAAACTTGTCATTTCAGAAAATAAATTTGTATGTGATATCTTTTCCAGGCAGCATTAAATGCTATCACCAAATCTTTGAGTATTGACCTACGAGGTTCCAACATTTTGGTAACAAGCATACATCCTGGTTGGGTAAAAACTGACATGGGAGGCAAGAACGCACCTCTGACAACAGAAGAAAGTATATCAGCAATAATCAATACACTTAACATTTTGAATGAGGAACATAATGGGGAGTTTGTGCAGTATGATGGCAAAAAATTACCATGGTAAATTGGGTTTTTACTTACAACAGTTTATACTAAGTCAGAAATATCCATGTTAACTATGATTGGAGTTATTATGCCTGACCTCATTCCATGATTTTTTAAAAATTGGTAACAATAAATAAGGAATGGGGTAAATAAGTGAGGTCAGGTTGACCAAGGAAATGACTGCTTAATGCTAAGCACTTTTAGAGCAATTTGTATGTAAAAAAAAAAAATCAGTAGAATGAAAATATAGTGGACACCATGTTCTGAGAATCTACATATTAAAAACAGGGTATACTGGTATGATCTTTAGAAAAAAAAAAATTATATACAATGTAATATGGCAGTGCACATTTACTGTTATTTGAGCTCTTATTTCATATAAAATGCAAGGTATCCTGATGTAAATGTTATTCTTTGGTATGCAAGTTTGGATGTTTTATTTTATTAGTGTAAATGTTTTTTTTTAAAGAAAATTTAGCATGTGCTCTCTTCTGTATCAATATATGGGAGATAAATGTAACTAAAGTTTAAATCTCTTATTCAGAATCTGCCAGTGCTCCCCCATTTGGTAAGTCTTTCTAAGCAGGACCAAAATTTTGTGAAGTCGATTACTTCAACATAGAGCAGGGGTTCCCAACCAAAGTGCCCTGGAACAATATGAAAGCTATGACTTAAAACTGGATTTTATCTAACAGTACCTACAGATAATTTTCTATAACCTATCAATAAATTGGAATCTCTCCATGGTGTTCTTGTCTTCTAGTTAATGACAGCACTACACTATTTGAAACTAATATTACCTAAATCTGAAAAGATGAGACACTGGAGATTATTTTACATTGAGCAAGGGCCACACAGTAGAAAAGGTTAGGAACCACTGATTTAGAACTGCACAATCAAGTATTTGTGTTGGAGGAGGCATCTTCCCATATATTTGATGCCTTTATTACACTGATTTGCTCATCACCAAGAAGTCCATATTTATAAAATTATCTCAATGAAAAAATTGGTGTACTATGATTTATACTTTACTATTACATTGTAACATTCTTTGGTCCTGACTGGCAAAAATATTTATTTTCAGGAATCTGTGCCTTATGTGAATTTGAGTGACCTTGGGTAATATTTATCCTTAAAATTAATTAGAACATTTTAGTCTCACGTCATGAGGGTACTGTGCAATGCTATTATCGATGTAGAGGAACTACTGCATCTGTGGGTATGTCACTTTTGAAATGGGTGAAAACATAGCTATATACAGATTTGTACATAAAAAGTATTCTGTATATCAAGGTAATAATAATAAACACTTTTGTGCTTAAATTTGTTTTATTTAGTAAATGAAATACACATCCATAAATCTGAAGTGAGAGAATAATACATTTAGGTTCTGAGTTTCAAGTATCTCTAACCCCAATCTTGAAAGTTACATTCTAAAAGGCTGTCTGGTGTTGGAGGAATTAGGGATGGTGGAAGGGATGCCACACTTTGCATTCCTGGTGGATTTTTAAAAAGACTTTCCCATTCAGTTTCATCATGGATACTGAACTTGGTATCAGTCTCTCCACCATCCAACTTCTTAAAAATCCATTTCTCAAGTGATGGTTCACTGCTGTCTCCCCTCTCTGACTGGAGCTTGCTGCATCTTTTTGCCTCATTTTCCCGATGCACTAAAGATGAAAAAGGAATACTTGTAAAAAAAAAAACATTATATATTATAATGAAAAAAATTATGTATTTTTATAAGCAACTAAGCAATCCTGAAAATCCATTTAGAACAGTAAGATGAAAATATAGTATGCAGATTCGTACAATCCTGTGCAATTATGCTTTTACCAATCTAGGCTAGAAATGTCAATGTACACATATATACTCTGCAATTAGATCACTGGAGGTTGTATAGGTTTTAAAACAAACCTACAGTGAACAGTCTGTAACAAATGTTACAAAAGCTATAAACAATAATTCAAGATTTCAAAATGCATGAGAAGTTACTTAGGTTTTGATGTTAACCCATTCGCTCGATGTGGCAAAAATACACGCCATGCCCACTGTAATACACGTTTATTTAATGTATTTACACATAGATGGCTCTACAAATTCTTAATCACCAAATGGACAGTTTATCAGAACTACATATCTCACCTGTTTACCCTTTTCCTTCACTTTAGGACTGGGTCTTTTGTATCATTTCACTGTCTAATATATTTTCATGACAAATTAATAATCATAACATCAATAACAACAATAACAGTATCAATAGCAATGATATTAATTTTCCCGCCAATTCAATGAATGGGAAAATCAGGATCGATAACTAGGGCCTACTGATAGACTCCTTGCTGGCTAAGCACATGTGGAGCCCTCTGTATGTAACAAAATTCACCAAAAACTACAGGGGACAGAACATAAATCCAGGGTGAATGGGTTAAATATTTAGAATCGTGTAATTCTAAAGTAAATTTGATATGAATAACTCATTGTATATCTACACTATGTTTAAACTCTAGTAGCATAATGGAGCTGTAACTATCTGCCAAGCCACAAATATAGCTGTCATAAACTGACTCATTACGCCGGGTATGGCTATAGATGTCACAATGTGCTTGAGCAAGTCGAGCAGAAAGTTCTGCTACATGTAGCGGACTCCCGGGCCAAACGGCAGGACAATTGCCAGAAATCACCTGAGTCAGTGATGTCCAGAGATTTTTGATACCGTCATTGAGGGGTTAAACATGGCAGATAAAATCCTATCTAATCTTGACCCTTTGGCACTGGGTACAAGTAATATCTACTGCAGTTTTGTTTTATGAATTTTATTTGCACAAAGATGGCTCCACAAGTGTTCAGCCACCAAGGAGTCAATTGGTAGGTCATTACATGACCTCTCGTAATTTTACCACTTTAATTTTCAGGAAAAATGTTTTTTTCTAGTGTTATGAATATCACTGATGATGATGATATTATTGATATTATGATTATAATATTATTAAAATACTAATAGCAATAAAAATTCATCTATCCAAAAATCAAGGAAAAGGGTAAACAAACCAGATAGTTAGGCCTAGTAATTGCCTCCTTGTGACTAAGCACTTGGGGGGCTATCCACTTGTAAACAGAATAAATGAAATAAAATCAGTGAACATGACATGCATGTAGATGATATCCCAGTATCTCAGAATTAATACACAGTGATTTGGATTATTACAAAAGGTCTTAAAAAAAAAAAAGTTAATTTATTGGTGTAATCTTAGTCACTGGATTCAGTGCCACTCACACTCAATGATTCCAGTCATTTGTAAGTGGATCAAATGCTTAAAAGGTAACCAGAATGGCAATCATTATGAAATCTTGTGATATCTCAGATATTTTTGTGAAAATGGAATGAAACATTAGCAATAAAAGTCTCACCTTCTTCCTTTAATATATTTAGGTCACTGACTGTTAAGTGAGAATATATGCAGGCATCACCAAAAGAACACTCTTGGCCAGAATAGAAACGACGGCATTTCTCCTTCCCTAATTCCTCTTGGAGCTTCTCTCTTGCAGCTATCAACAAAATAAAAAATAAATAAATTTCAAAAGAATGGAAATTACTGCCATTTTATCATCTGAATACACTATATAACATGTGCTTCAGCTGGAACAAACCATTTTTACAGAAAAATATGGGGGGAAAAGGGAACCAAGAGAACTATGCATACTGGTACCCTGCTTATTAATAACCTCCAATATCACCTGCTTCAACATACAGAAATAAACTGAATAAAGACTACTAAAAATAACCCTAATATTATCTTGGCTGTCATGCAAATAAAAATCATACAACTCTAATACTTACTTTTAAACTGGTTATAATGGAGAGTCCGTAACTTTTGATGTTGGTATCCATTGATGTGTTTCTTGCGTGCCTCTACACTATAGGGGAATGAACGGTCACAGTAATCACAATAATACCTCTTTACCATGTTTATGCTCTCACTTCTATTTCCTCAACTTTCATTCTATCCTGCAACAAAGAACAAAAATTTCTTGAAATTAAATCCAATATTAGAAAAGTATAAATAAGTATTCCTTTTTATTGAAGCTTTCTTCTAGAACAACAGAAAGTTCAATTAAAAACAAATGAAAATCATCTACATTATTAACTCCATGGAATCAGGTGACTAGCAGGCCATATGTAGACACAAAGTCCAAATATTAGGTATACTTTAGTGACAACTTAAACATGTGTGGCTTGTAGCCATGAACACATGGACAGGACCAAGACTCATTGCCTCCTCTTTGTAATGTTATTATGCTTTTTCCAGCTCACACTCACTCACACACTAGCCCCGGATTTATGTTCTGTCGCCTGTAGTTTTTGGTAAATTTTGTTACATACAAATGGCTCCACATGTGCTCAGCCAGCAAGAAGTTTATCAGTAGGCTCTAGTTACCGATCCTGATTTTCCCATTCATTGAATTGGCAGGAAAATTAAAACCATTGCTATCAATACTGTTATTCATGTTATGATTATTAAATTGTCATTAAAATATTTTAGACAATATGATACAAAAAAAAACTTTCCTATACTGAAGGAAAAGGGTAAACAGGTGAGATAGGTAGTTCCGATAAACTGGCTATTAGGTGATTAAGAACTTGAAGAGCCATCTATGTGTAAATACAATAAATAAACGTATTACAGTGGGCATGGCATGTATTCTTGCCACATGGGGCATTTACAGGTGAAAATATTACAAGGTTACCTTCCAAGTTGCTCAATGAGTAACTTTCTTCCAAAATCCTTTGTACCTTCATAACTAGTCAAACCTATCACCTGACCCTCTGCCAAATATTTTCAGGACAGCATGTTTCCATGACCCAGTCTTCGTCCAAATATTTTCATGATGTGACCTAGTATGACCCAAACCTAATGGGTTACTTAACAAGTTAGGACAACCTAAAAAAATAATGCAAGAATTATTCAAATGAAAATCTTTCTGAATCCTATTCCAGTATATTAAAAAAAATTACTTACTTTCATACTGCAAAATAACACTCAAAGAGTGCTATTAGTGGGTCTTTGGATTATTTGCAGCAATATAATGGTAAAGAACCACCATCAGGAAGAGGGACACTCCTAGGATGTTGACAAACACAGCAAGTTGAACGTCAGAAATCATTCTGAAATGTAGATATAATTCATTATAAAATGAGAGGAAGAGGAGAAATAAGAGGAGAGTAAGTTTTGTTGTTTTTTTTTCTATTGCAAGTGATACTACTGTAAAGCAGTCAAGGTAAAAAATTTAAATAACTTGATAATAGTGCAGGTCTCACCATGTGCACCTTGCATCCATTGTGCTAAAGAGGCATTACATTTGTTTAATTTTCCCACTATACATACGTATCACAAATACAGTGGCATGTGACTGGTTAACTATATTTCATGTAATACTATTGGCTCTTGTGACTAATGTCACATGTATTTACTGCACAATTATTACTTTTAATCAAAATATTTTGTGATCAATTCATGTAGTAACAGGTTTTAAAATTCACACACGAATATGCAGCACCTTTTGCCCATATGGGGAAAGCACATCACAATGTAACAGTTGTACTAGTTGTAATAATTATTCAAGATTTTAATTGTATTACTCTTGTATAATGAGGTAATTCTTTACAGTATGGATGCACTCATCCATACTGTCTAAGTTGACATGATTGGGTGCACTGCCTAAAGGGAGGATTGATGGGATGCTCTAGCCACCGACATCCCTGGGAAAAAATTGTTGTCACCTTTGTATGCATAGCAAAGTAAAGCTGAAACTCAGAAGCATCAACTGGAAGTAAGCTGTTAACAGCACTTTGCACAATCTTTTCCTTTATTTGTTGCACTACCATTCCTGTCTACATACTAGTTCTTACACCAAAAAATCAAACTTTTGTCATCTGCAAGATTAACCTCTAATGATAATGATCTATAACTTTTCATAAACATAAAATCATGCAGTCTTTATTAATGTTCATTAGTAGTTTGGGAGACAGGGGGTTGAAGCAGAAATTGAACAAAGTTATTTATGAAATGTTAAAAAGATAATTTTCGAAAACTCAATCCAAACAATAAAAAAGGTGAATAAAATCGATAAGTGCAGAAAGTCTATTTTCAGAAAAGGTAAATCAAGTTTCATACAATTATAATAAACGTAAGTAAACATTGTGTAACATGGGAACCCAGATATCCAACCTAACCATACCTACCTTCTATTTCTTCCCTAGACAGGGGGGACAAGCTTCCCCTATATCCCCCCTTTATCAGTGCTTTGTGCCAAGTGACATTATTATAGAAAAGATACTGTGACACATACAGTCAGTGTGGAGGGTGCAGATGAGTAGTACAATCACAAATAGTCTTGTTTGGAAACTGAAAGAAGAAATGCTGTGTGTGACCAGTACACACACAGCAAGAGGTAGGCCTGGCCGCCAAAATGTTGCAAAAATTGCCCGTAACTATCATAAAAAAAAAAAAATTATGAATAACACTGCAATGATCTACAATGATAATCCGACAATACTGATAAAATAATATTTAAGTATAAATTCAAACATACCCCATGTCACTGACCACAGAAGTCTGAAGGTCTTGCCTGGGCAAAACCTTAAAGGAAACTGAGGAAGTGACTGACAGTGTGCATTGTTCAGATAAGGGAGGCAATTATGGTAAACAAGCAGTGATGTTGTTAAATAGTTAAGAATGGATAATAAAAATAATAAAAAAAAAAAAAATCATATTAATTTGAGAAAGCAACCAAATAGATCTAGTAGCATAAAAAAAAAGAGGAAAGGTAACGAGGAATATGAAAAAATAATGAAAATAAATAAATCGGAAATGATTTCCAGGTTACTCAACAGAAAACACATTCATTATAGAAAACAGACAAAGAAAATGTACAAAATGGAGTTTTAGAAAATGAGAGGACTGGCAGTGTGAGGGTGTTGTGGACTTAGTTTCTCAGCCGTGACATGCAGCGGACATTTTCGCCATATCCCGGTAAATAAAAAGCCGCTGCAGATAAACCTGTATTGTTTCCTACTCTATTTTTTGTTGCTCTCAGTAACATTAACCATGATAATAGAGGAGGAATAATTAGAAAGTAGGAAAGGTTGGGTTTGGATTTTGGGTTCGCATGATACCCTGATTTTGGGACATCGCCCTTGGTAACAAATATCCTATTTGTTATGCTCTATAAGACAGCAGTATCTACTGTCCTCTATCCCTGTGTTTCACTCGGTAACATTAACCCAATGACACCAGGTGTACAAAACAAAAAAAAAACTCTACGCTCTAGCAAACAAAGGCGCCAACTTTGAGCGCGTGAGTAGGGGACATCAGCCCAAATCACTGGCTCGCCGCCACGGCGTTCGGCAGCGCGCCAGCTTTCGAGCAGTTTGTTTGCATGCCGATCGGCATCACCCGGCACCAAGGGGTTAATCCATATGTTATTTGTCATATAAAAGAATATCTTCAATTTGCCCTAACTTAGCATATGCATACGAAGATGATAAACCGTAAATTGGGTTTATCATTTAATTCTGTGGATATTGTGTTTCAAGCTTCTGTGATTCTTGAAACAGGCAAAGATGCATTTTGGTTATGATATAAATTCATGTAAGGTGGAAGGAGGGTGAAGAAAAAGGTGCTGCAGACTGGATTGGGTTTAGGATGCCATCATGGAGAGGAGCCTTAGAAGCACTGCCATGTATGGTAGATTTTGAGATGCAGATATATTCCAGAAAACTACCTGGAATTTTCGTTTGATCCCCTCAAGCTCTACCCGGGCCAGGTTTACTTGTGCTTGGCAGTCCTCTAACATGTGTTCCCGCACATGACATTGACCCGAGTTGCCGGCAGTTTGCACGGAAATAGTTAAACGCAACATAAACAATCATCATCGACAATTATCGCTTGTTATTCATTTTCATTTGTTAACAGCAGTGTTATATCTACCAAAATACCAGTCTTTACATTTCCAGAGTGAAGCCGCGTAGATCTGTCAGGGACAATCTAGTACCTTCTCACCTTCTCACTAATGACAAAAAGGAATAAGCTGCCAACAATTAACCAATCAGTTTATCTACTAATTACTATTTTCACCCTTCGCACTGTACATCAAATAACACAAAGATTTACTTGCTTGGAGCCGGAGAAGAGCGGCGTGAGTAGTGTACAACGAAGCGACTGCGATTCGACTCCTGACACGTCTGAGAGCTCGGTGTCTGGCGGAAGAATAGTAACGACGGAGGCTCGATCTTTTTTTTCTTCTCTTTCACATAACAGAAGCTGATTAATTAAAAGTCTTTGAATATTGTGAAATGAAATATTTAATGTATAATTATATATTAATATGATATTCTTGCCTTCTGCATGTAAACTTAGATTTAAGTGAGTCCTATTTAATATTCTCCATATCAATAAAGGTTATTCAGAAAGACTTGCAATTTGTGGACTTTTATCACAATATTCACTGTGTTAATATATATCTCTCCCTCTATTTTTTGGCGGAGTGACTATTTTTCGGACAATTTCAGGGTTGTGAACCATTGATGTACGATAATTAGCCATTGTTGCTGCCTACCATTGAATGAATATAACATCATATTATTCACAACTTTTCGGAAGATGCAGCTTAGTAAATATACAACAAGTCTAACTAGAAGTGCAGCAGAGAACGAGTGCTTCAGTCACACAGTTTCTAGTCTCCCGACGTCGCGACGCGGGAGCAGCCTCGTCTGGCCGCACGCAACCCTCGGCCGCAGTTGATGCAACACCTTGATCGAGGCAACAGCGGCTGTCGATACCGGTATTCTGCAACGCCTTGCAAGACCAGCTCCCCGTGACTAGTGGAGACGATGGGGGAAGAAAGTAAAGATGAGCAAATTAGCAACACATCTCCAAAGGTGTACACCTTAGCGGAGATTGCGGAGCATAAAACAACAGATTCGTGTTGGATTGTGATTCACGACAAAGTCTATGATGTAACCAAATTTTTAGATGAGGTGAGTGTTTTCTTCCATTTTTCTCAGATATTCATGCTGATATAGACAGGCCGAAGCGAGACTTAAGGGCCAGAGTGAATCCTTGGCGTCTGCTCAGATCAGCTGAATCATCATGACTTTCCTCCCCCAAAAAAACAGTGTTGGAAGTAATATTTAATTATTTTTTGTCTATGGTTAGATTTGTACTCTTAACATTTAGAAGCTGTAATTTTTGTTTTTACTGAGATATGGCCATAATAGCTTTTCAGAATTGGTCAATTCTTGCAAGTGCAAAGGTCTAACTTCTGTGGGTAATAGATTTCCAGAGTGCCTCAACATCTCTCAGTTTTAGAGGAATCAGGTGTTTTAACATGTGGATAAAGGGATCTTTGTGGATGATCAGGCACGAAGACATACATTTTATTTTGAGCCTTACTTTGGAAGATCTTGGACGTGCATGACCAAAATCAGGAATTCAGTGTGCAAGAGAGTTTTCATGTTCAGCTAGAGTGCGACAAGCTTTTTTATAAAAGAAAAAATGGCAGTTCATCCCAGACTTCAGAGTGCTCGATCTGTCAAGTCTTTTATTTGAATACATTTCCATTTGCTCTGTAATTTCAAGGCTTTCAAATTATGTTCCTTATGTTTTTATTGAAATTCACTGCCTTCAACAACACTTTATTATTTCCTCTAGTCATATTGTTTATAAATTATCATTGGTTGTTTAAGGAATTACACCAGGTTTCAATCTCTAAGTACCTTTCAAGTTTTATAAGCTTGTTATCTGTATGTATTAAGTCTGTGTTATAAACATTTTGTCAGGAAATGTTTATTTTTCCTTTAGTTTTGTTTTGGTGGGGCCAATATTATCTTCATTTCATGAAAGATAAATAGATTTTATTGTTTCCAATTTTCTTGGTATTATACAGAAAAACTGATGCTTGCTTGCCTGCTTCTTCTTCTTCTTGAGATTATTAACAGTTAGCTTGATATTTTCATGATAACTCATTTGGTTTTGATTGGGAATATACATTTCATCTCTTGTCCATCAGTGTAATGGAAGTCACATTCATTACTCATTACTTGAAATGTATAGATGGCATTCTACATCCCCCCCCCATGGTATGCCCCAATTGCAATCTGCTATGATACCTCCAATGATCCTCATGGAGCAGCAGGGATTGGTGTACTAATTCCTGTTATAGATCTTGAAGAAAGTGTGTGTATATCCAACTGGACAAGCACAACTGATGCCAAGTCAGTAGCCATATATTATTCCATTAAGAAAGGTAGTGAGCAGCAGCAACACCTGGCTGTTTGTACTGACAGCCAAGGCGCCCTCCATAGGTACCAGAAAACTTGGTAACTAGAAATATCCTTCACCAAATTTCTAAACTATCAGAACAGGGTATTCAAGTGTCACTATACTGGATACCCTCTCATATAGGAATATCAGTATGTGACAGGGTTGATCAGTCAGCCAGATTAACACTTTCCCCTGAAGATCCATATTATTTTTTACTTCTCTCTCACAATCAAATTAGAAAATGTGTTATCAGCTGTCTTCTAGATTATGAGGGTCAGGTATGGACCACTGAAAAGATGGAAAAAAACAAAAAAAAAACAGACATAGTAATATCTGGCTTTATCAGAGTACTGCAGGGACATCAGATATAGGCAGACCCTATAAAGTCTATCATGGACAGTCTCAGAGACAGTAGGATACATTGACTAGGCTGCGCATAGGATATCAATACACTATACAGTATGTACAGGATGCAGTTTTGGAGGCAAAACCCATTTCATATCACCATGGCAAACTGTGCAAGGCATCCAAGTCGCATAATCTTACCCATTACTTATTCTGTTGCATAAAAACTGCATCCTATCAATTAAACAGTACTGTGAACCGATTAGCACCTACTGATTATGTTAACTCTATTATAAACAATGGTCTTGTCTTTGACATGGTTAGTGATATAAAAGGTTTTTTACCAGCCAGATGATAATTTAATACAGTGATAAATAGCACAGCCCTTCAGGCATATATATAACACTAATGTTTTACTGATTGCCCTCTACACAAAGAGCAGCACAGCCAGTTTGAATACATGCTTTAACCTGGCTTTTTGCAGGGCATTTACACTGGTAGGAAAGAAATGTGAGGTGCAAAGAGTAGTATATAGCTCATGTAGAGAGAGAGAAGAGAGGAGAGAGAGAGAGAGGATGAGAGAAGAGAGAGAGAGAAAGAGAGAGAGGAGAGAAGAGAGAGGGTGTGAGGGAGGAAGAGAGAGAGAGCTAGAGGGGAGAGGAAGAGAGATGAGAAGAGAGAGAGGGGGGGAGAGAGAGGAGAGAGAGGGAGAAGAGAGAGAAGAGAAGAGAGAGAGAGAAGATAGAGAAGAGAGTGGAGTGGGGGAAATAGAAGAGTGTGAGAGAGAGGTAGGGGAAGAGATAGGGGGATAGAGAGAGGTGATAGTGATAGGTGTAGAGAGAGCAGAGAGAGAAGGGCGGGGTGATGAGAGATGAGATAGAGGAGGGTTGAGAGAGAGAGAGAGAAGGGAGAGAGAGAAGAATGAAGAGGGGTGAAGAAGAGAGAGAATATAGAGAAGGGTGAAGCGAGAGAGAGAGAATGAGCGGGAGAGATATGAGACGAGATAGGGAGAGAGGGGAAGAGAAGGAAGAAGAGAGAGGGGGGAGAGCAGAAGAGAGTAGCAGGGGGGGAGAGAGAAGAGAAAGAAGAAAGAGAGAGAGAGTACGAGAAGAGAGAGAGGAAGAGAGAGGGAGAAGAGAGATGAGATAGAGGGGAGAGGAGAGAAGAGAGTTGGGGGCAAGAAGTATAGAGAGGAGAGAGAGAGAGAGGAGAAGAAGAAGATAGAGAGAGAGAGAGGGAGAGAGTGGAGAGAGGGAGGGAAGAAGCAGGCCGGGAAAGAGAGAGAGAGAAAAGAGAGCAGAGAGAAGAGAAGAAGAAAGAAGAGAGAGCTAGGAGAAGGGTTGAAGGGAGCAGGGAGAGGAGAGCATAAGCAGAGAGAGGAAGAGAGGAGAGAAGAGAGAAAGAGAGAGAGAAGAAGGAAAGAGGGGAGGCGGAGAGGGAGAGAAGAGAAGAGGAAGAGCCTGGGTGGAGGTAGAAGTAGGGAGGAGTGGGAGAAAAGAAGAAGAAGACGAAGAGAGGAAGACGGAAGAGAGAGAGAGAGAAGAGAGAAGACGAGAGAAGGAAGAGAGAAAAGGGAGAGGGTGCGAGAAGGAGGAGAGACGAGAGATGAATAGAGAGAAGATGAGAGGAAGCAGAGACGAGAGAGAGAGGAAGAGCAGAGAAAGAGAAAGGGAAAGAAGGTAAGGGAGAGGGGAGAGGAGGAAAAGAGGAGAGAGAGAGACGAGAAGCAGGTGAGAGAAAGAGGAGAGAGAGAGAAGAGAGAGAAAGGAGTGAATGGAGAGGGTAAGGAGTAAGAGAAAAGGCAGAGAGAGAGAGAGAAAGAGAGAGAGAAGAAAAAGCTAACGAGAGCGCAAGGAAAGAGAAGAGAGCGCGCATGCAAGGGAGGAGCTGAGAGACGAAGGCGGGGGACGGAAGAAGAGGCGGGAGAATAAGACGCAAAGCAAGAGGAGAAGAAAATAGAAGAGAAGAAGGAGGAAAGGGAAGAAGAGAAGAGGAAGAAGAGAGAGGAAGGGAGAGAAGGGGGGGACGACGGTGAAGACAAAGAGGGGGAAGACACCAGAGAAAGGAAGAAGAGAGAAGAGAAAGAGAGTAGATAGAGAGTAGAGTGGAAGGAGAGAGAGAGAGAGGGAAGGAGAGAGAGGAAGAGAGAGAGAGGAGAGAAGGAGAAGAGAGAGAGGAAGAGAGAAGAGAGAGAGAGAGAAGAGAGAAGAGAAGTAAGAGAAAAGAATGAGAGAGAGAGAGAGGGGAAGAGAGGGGAGGAGAGAGATGAGAGAGAGAGAGAGCAGAAGAGAGAAAAAAAACAAAAGCAGAGAGAAGTAGAGGGTAAGGAGGGGGAGAGAAGAGAGAGAGAGAGAGAAAGAGCAGAGAGAGAAGAGGAGGGTAGGAAAGGGAGAGAGAAGAGCGAGAGAAGTAGAAAGTAAGGGAGCGAGGAGGCAAAGGAGGGGGAAGGAAGATGGGACGGAGCAGGGGAAGGGGAGAGGGAAGCAGAGAAAGAAGTGAGAGAGGAGAGAAGAAGAGAAAAGAGAAGAGGCGTAGATAAGGAAGAGAGGAGAGAAGCGAGGAGGAGAATAGAAGGGAACGGGGGAGAGAAGGCGAGCGAGAAAGCGAGCAGAGGATTGAAGGCGGAGCATGGGGGAGAGAAGTAAAAGAAGAAGAGAGGGACAAATGCACGACAGCTAGGAAACAGATGAAAAAGACGGAGGTGAAAATAAGTAGCTGAGTAAGAGGGAGAAGAGAGAGAAGATAAAGGATGAGTAGAGAGAAGATAAGAGGGGAAGTGGGAGAGAGGGAAAGAAGGGACAGCAGAGAAGAGAGAAGAGAAGACAGAGGGGAGCATGAGAGAGGGGAGAGAGAGAGGGTGGGGGGGGGAGAGAGAAAGAGAGAGAGAGAGAGAATGAAGAAAGAGAGAGGAGAGAGAGAAGGAGGGCAGAAGAAGAAAGGAGAAGAGGTGAGGGAAGGAGAGGGGGAGAGGTAGAGCGGAAGAGAGAGAAGAGAGATAGAGGGGGGGAGAGAGAGAGAGCAGAGCAGGAGGACGGAAGAAAAGGAGAGAGAGAGAGAAGAGAGAGCAGAGAAAAGATAGAGAAGAAGGAGAGGGACAAGGAGAGGGAGAGAGAGAGAGAGAGAGAGATGAGAGAGAGAGAGGAGAGAGAAGAGACAGAGGAGGAATTGAGGGGGGGAGGGAGAGATAGAAAGAAGAGAAGCGGGAGAGGAGAGAGAGAGAGAGAAGAAGGAAAGGGAGAGAGAGGAGCAGGGAGAAAGGAGAGGGGAGAAGAGAATAGAGAGCCAGAAGGAGAGGGAAGAGAGAGAGAGTAGAGAAGGAAAGGAAGGAAGAGCGAGAAGGGAAGGCGGGGAAGGGAGAGGAGAGCGGGGG